GTAAGGAGCCCAAAAAGTTAAAAGGGTAGGTTCAAAAGTCGTTCTTTAGGGTTCAAGCAGGGCGCTTAGGTTTCTCGTCGTCAGGAATGCATCGGCCACAGCGCGCAGAAAGATGCTGGTGACTCCGACTGCTGAGGTTTTGCTCGATTCATGTAAGTAAGACACGAACAACGGTGACATGATTCCCGGTTGTATATGCACAACCTCACCCAAGCCGAGCCCACAGACCGAATAAAGGTGCCTTAATGGCTGCCTTAATGAGCAGAACAGGGCTTGGGAAGATACATCAGCTTCACCTGACAAGAAACCTAAGGACTGGTGATTCAACTTATCAAGGACCCCTGAGAAATGGCATAGTCATAAACGTGGAGCCTTAAGGTTTTACCTTGGCAGCATAACTGTAGAAAGGAAACCCGAGGAAAAGTATACTAGAATAAGGACCGATTATGACCTTTGATAAGGAAGCCTAATCCAGGAACGGCATAAGAAATTAGCCTAAGGCCCCAAAGTAGTTCCTTTTGGAGGTTCATATTTAGAATCCTTATAGGTAATCCCAAAAAGGAACTACTTTGGGGCCTATGGGTAGGCACCCGTATATCACCCAACGCTCCAAAGCAGCGGAGGCACATGCATTGCAGCAGCCCAAGAGCTTCTTGGCCTCTTTCTGACGTAATGTGGGAGGCTTCATAATTACCAATACTACGTTGGGTTGCTCCTTATTATGGTTATAGTACAATGGGCCCCAAACACCAATTCTGATTGTTCAGGCCCATTATTCTACAGCTTAGGATGACTTAGGGTTTATGATTGCGGCCTTGATAGCTGAAACCGCCAAACTCCAAGCAGACAAAGAGTGCCTACTTGGAGGTCTGATGTCCGTATGCTTGAGAGATATGATAGAGGCGAGAAGGGGATATGTCCACCATTTTCTCAGAAGTCTACGTTGCATGCGCGCATCACTAGACTCGACAAGAGCTTGTCGGCTCCTTCGGGAATTTGCGGCTGTCACCGTGAACGCCCGAAACCTTAACTCCACATACAAGGCCCGAAGTGCCGGCTCGTCGATACCCCACATCAACAATCTAGATCTCACAGCCCTTCAATAGCCGTCAGCGTCGGAAATGAATAGGAAGGTGCGAAGAAATCAAGTTCCGAGAAAAGGTTTCGTAGGCCAGGTGTTGGGCAAAACGCTCGAATGTGCGAGTATAAGCGAAGGACCGCAATGCAGCCATTAACCCTATACCCTAATGCCCAACCCCCCGACAAGCTCCAAAAGACATTACCCTAAACCAACCCTCTGCAGTTTGCTCGCTTGCAAGAGCCGCAGCTGTCCTTCCTTCTCAGGCCTTGCTTTCTTGAAAACTGCTAAAAACTAGAAATACGGGGCCACGAATGGCCAAGGCCAGCCACCCTGAACCCTCAACCCGACCCTAAACCCTAAACCCTAAACCCTAAACCCTAAACCCTAAACCCGGAACCCTCAACCCGAACTCCTCCCTTCACCCTGGGTCTGAGCTTCCGGCAAAGCTGTTTGCGCCCCAGACTTTTCAGTGCGAAGGTGTAGTCCTGGCTTTGAGTGCGTGCAACCCGTTCTGTAACGATCAATCTTACAGTGTGCACATCTACGTACATGTATTACATGCAACGTGGCGATGCCAAGCAAGGTATATACTAGTGTAGACCGTCCAAGATGTGCTGCCTGCTGCCGAAACCACCCCATGAGACAAAGACTGCCCTGCCCCCTTGCATGAAAAACACCGCTCTTGAACAGCTGGAAGAACAATTTACCTAAACCCTAAACCCTGAACCTCTAAACCCCTAATTTACAGATGTTCACAGGGCCGAAGGTCTTTGAAGACCTGTCTGCGTCTGTGGAGCTTAGGGTTTGGAGGTTTGGGATTTAGGGATCTAAGCTTGGGGGCAAGGGGTCTGAGAACACAGCAGCAAATTTTGGCACGCCTGCGGTGTTCGCAGCATACCTCACAGGGAAGCTCGCTTCAGGCAGTGGTTCAAAAACAGTGCCGGAGCACCAAAACGGACTCTTCCAGATTCAATCAGTGTTCGTCCATAGGTCGAATAAAGTTAGTCACCGTATCCCCTGATAGTCCCATCAACTTATACTACAACATACCGCTAAGCCATACTCTCATCCGCTCATTGTGACACTTGCGATAGCAATTTTCTACCAGCCGCCCCCAAGGCTCTACCCATAGGCCCCACAGTAGTTCCTCTTTGGGATTACGTACAATAGGATTCTACATATGACAAAAGGAACTACTTTAGGGCCTTAGGGTAGTCAATGGAGGGAATAAAGGATCATGGGACTTGGTAACTAGGGATATCATTAGGGTAACTATACTTATAACCCCAATTAAGGTTCTTAATAGCCTTACTTACTAAGTCCCATGATCCTCCAAGTAGTACCCTCAACCCTAAACCCTGTAGATCCTTTAAGGAACCCTATAGATCCCTTTAAGGAGCCCTTTAAGAACCCTTACTAAGTCCCATATCCAGCTGCCGGGCCTTCGGCCTGCATCGCCGCCACGGCCCCGGCAACTTCCTCGGGCCGGGCGCGCCGGTCCTCCAGGCGGGGGGGGGGGAGGGGTTTAGGGTTCAGGGTTTGGGGGAACAAGAAAAGGGGCCTTAAGACTCATAACAGGGCGTAAAAGGGGCGATAAGTAGGGCATTTAAGAATCAAAAAAAGGTCTGAAAAGGCAAGAAGCAGGGGATTTCAGCATCAGAACAGGGGTTGTAAAGGACTTCAAATGAAAGGGCTCAAGAATCACAGGACGGTGTTTTCAAGGGCAACAAAGGTCTGACAGTTCTTGCAAGGGCTTGATGGAGCCCATTGCCTATTGCTTCCAAGCTCGGTTGGTTTCCTCAACACCCTTACCGCAACACGAGTTGTAGTTGGACTCATACTGAGGCTATGTTGGACAGGGAAATGGTGTCGAGCTTCCACAATTTTAAGGCCCTCAGGCTACGGAGCCTTAACCCTGAACCCAAAACTCTAAACCGGTGGGGCTAATCGGTGACCAGAGTATACGATCGAGATCTGCTAGCCTGCTGTTGGGCTCAGGGATAAGAGCTTCAGAGCTGAAGAGTCATCTGGACCGGAAGAAGCCCATCTTTTTAGGGTCTGAAGAAACGTACTTTTTGTTTTGAGGGGGTGGATTGTGTAACGCAAGGTTTAAAGTTCAGAATTCAGGGCTCAGGCTTGCGGATATCAAGTGATTATTTGGCTGTATGTGATTTCGAGATTCAAGCAGTTTGGGTCTTGGGGATTGTGTCTCCAGGTGGAACTACGAACACCCCAAACCAACCTAGGCCTCACAAAGGTTTTGCTGGTAGTGTAGAGTCTAAGGGCCTTATACTACTTAGAATAGGGTGTTGAGGGCATTTTCATCTAAGTCACAGAATTAAGGGACCCTTGGGAAATTGCCGAAACTCCAAGCAAGATGGCTCCCTCTCAAAAGTAGAGCCCTAAACCATCCACATGCCTGGGCAATGGCAAGGTAACGGCGCTGGTGGGCTCTCATCACCTGCTGGGTTCCTTTACACCTAAGACCTAGGGAGCCTGTTTCGTCTTTTAAGGGGGAAGGGCCTGCCTCGCGGAACCCTGTAGTTGGTTCCACTGTTTTCAGAAAGCCCAGCTGCTCGCCACGGTGCAAGCCGTTGTTGCTGATACGTATAGGCGGGTTCTCATTTTTTCAGAGGGCACATACCATACATTCACCCCACACACAATACCTTTTCAAGGACTTGCATAAGGAAATCATAGCCCGGAAACCGTAAATCGAGGTGTTGAGGAGGTTCAGGGGGCTATGGTATATGCTTCAACCTAAGGGTTTCGAAAGCTTGGGTTTCAGAGGCCTGAATAGGTGGAAGCACGGTTCGGGCTTAGGGCCTAGGAACCCGAACACTTAGGCGATCCGGTTAGATCCCCAATCAAACCCTGCAGGCCTGAACCACACAGGTAAGAGGGCCTAGAGGACCTGAACTGAACGCCGAGGCCCAAACCCCCGCCCCCATCCCCTGAAGCATAGATTCCGATCACCTCTGAAACCCGAAAGCCGACGACTTACCGACTTGCCTTCGCGCGCTGCAAGAGCAGGCTGCTGGCTCATTGCAAGCAGCTTTGGCGTCGGGGGCTTCGGAGAAGAACAAGGCTCACTGTGACGTGCAAGTGAGGGTTTAAGTAGTGCATACTATTTCCCAGCAGCCAGCTGTGCATGAACACTTGCATAGTACTGGAAACCCTCATTCTGAAGGGAATGGAAGCTTGTTCATGCATTGCTCAGCGCAATAGTTGCACAGCTCTCAGCACAAAGGCTCTGCTGTACATCAGCGTACCATCTGCCCCCAAGTCTAACTAGCCCCACGCCCTGGACCTGAGCCTGTAGCCGTAGAGCCCAGCCAAACACCCCGAACTGAATCGCAAGTTAGTGGGCGTCGGTGACAGGTCTGTACCGCAAAGCCTCCCAGAAAAGCCGAGGCCCTACCAGAACCCTCCAACATAGTTGCTTGTGGCTATCCAACCCTACGTTTAAGGTCACTGTAAAAAAACAAACAACGCACCGCGCCGAAATGCAGGCGAAACGCGGAAATTGCAGAACTTCAAATCCCCAGCAAACGCCCTCAACCTCACAACGTAGGCCCCAGTGAGGCACCCTCCCGGCTTGTGACTCAGGGTTTGTGTAAGAAGGTGTCTGCTTGCCTCGAGCGAGTCAGTGCCTGTAGATCTTGCACTGCGTGTTCCAAAACCCCTAAGCTCCAAACCCCAAACACTAAGTCCGATTCGGCGCTATGCCTCCAACCCTAGGCTTGAAACCCTAAAACATCCTAGACTCTACAGTAAACCTAGAGGCTCAAACCCTACCCCTTGTTTAGGATGCCTAGTTTTATGGTTAGGATCTGTTATCTTAAAAAGTAGGCGCTGTAAAACAGGGGTTAGGTATGAGCCTCTGGGAAGAACTACAAAACGATGCTGGGCTCCGGTCCACGAAGTGCGTCGGCTTGGCCTGGAATCCGCTCCGTTCCATACCCCCTCGCCCCACCCAGAGAGGCCAACAGCCCTTAATTACGGAATATAGCTTAAATCATGATATGAAGCCCTACATACTTTTAAGCCATATGCCTTAACTAAGGGGTCTTCTGGGCATGAATTTTAAAAACGGCCCGAACCCCGAAACATGCTCTTCATCATGGTCCTTTTGAATGCGACCGAGTCCTGTAGAAGAGACTAGAAGCAAGCCGTAAGCCGTTCAGCTCTCAACCTCTCAAGCCTGCATGTCGGGGCTGCAAGCTGTTGAGCTTAGAATGTTTCGGAGGATTTTGGATTAGGGTTTTAGGGTTTAGGGTTTAGGGTTTATGTAGTTCAGGGTCTTACAGATCCGGGATTGAGCTTTTGTGTTCAGCGTCGGCTTTCGACATTGAAGTTCATGGAAGAGTCGCTGGTTCTTGTCTATGGCTTCTGTCTGTTCGGGTCCACTAGCTTTGAGGCTTTCGGGTTTGACTTGGGAGCGTCTGGACACGCGGGTGGTGTGCACGCAAGGCTCAGAGAGTTCACAAACCCTAAACTCTATACCAAACTAAACCCCTGTCTAAACTACATCCTAAACCCGAAACCCTAATGAAACAAAAACTCTTCCTAAGCCCCGGGCTTGTGCCGGAGCACGAACTCTGGCAAAGGCACAGGAGCGGTGGCCACCCCTGCGCGATCCCAGACGATTCAGTTGCATGCATGCGCAAACATGTCCTGGGTCGGAATAAGAGATATGCCAGCATGCAGAACTCACACCTAACCTACACTCACGCACATAGAGAGACCGAGCGACAGAGAGAATCATCCATGCAAGCGAATATGTGCGCACATCAATTTGCCTCTCCAAGGGTCCGCCGATCTGGTTTCGAGAACTATCATACTCATGCAACCAATGTACCACCCGGGCCAACTAAACACGTTCACCGAAAGCTGTGCGGTTTGTTGGCCTCTTCTGCTGCCCTGGCTTGCAAGAACATAAAGCCTGCAGGACTGCTACAAAAGAAAGACCAGAGCACGGAGCTTGTAAACACGTCCGAACACATACGAGTTCTAGTTGCAGTGTTTGCACTGGTAGTGGTGGTGGCAGTGGAAACGGTAGCAGTGGCCGTCGTCACCCTGATCGTCACTTTCATGTCCAGTGCCCAAGCATGAGCCGATGACAGCATCACCCGCTGATTTATAACTCACCAAACGAAGGCGGACACGAAGATCTGAATCACCGTTATCCTTACCAACCTGGCTTCATACTTAGTTAGAACATTGTAGGTGGAGTATAACATTGCTATCGTAAGGAACCCTCAGGAGCAGTGTTGCGAAGTATTCCGGCGTCTACATTACACCGGAAGCCTCAGCGCGGCGAAGAGACTCACCGAGATCACCATCAGCTGCAAATATGACCTTGGCAAATTTGGAGGGGAGGCTCCAGTGGAGCTGAAAGTGTTGAAAGCCTCTTGATAGAAGATCAGAATACACCTCCTTGCTTATTACAATTATCGAGATGATGGTTTGGAGTATGATAATGATCATGGCATGTCCATTGTTGGTTTCGGGGATTCTTGGCTGATCCGGTCTTGCCTTTAGAAGAGGGCGCGCAGGGCAGGTAACATTGATAATTGGGTGAGAGCCTAGTCAAAGGGATTTAGACTGATGATGAGCAAATTGCCCCTGCTAGACGCATGGGAGGGCCGCATCCACTGGCAACGCCAAACTCAGTGAGTTCAGTGTAAGTTCCGCTTTTCTGGCATTCGCGTATGTGGTGAACCACCACGCAGGCGCGCAGCAGAGTGCATATTTAGGCTTTTTGCGCGGAAATCGTGCTCCCACCGCAGTTCTGCAAGCAATACCCGCGGGTATTGCAAGTTCTCAAGTGCCAACCGTTGATGCTATAAAGACTCAATATGACTCAATACTCTATTTTCCAATAGCGACATTCCGCATCGGCTCAACCCTGAACCCTGAATCTCAGGTCGGCAAAACCTGGGATCCTGCCCTGACTACAAGGAAGACCTTCCCAGCAATTCTTCTCATAGGGCCTTTCAAGTTCGATTTAAAGTGTAGCGCATACCGTAAGCTGCCATAGGTGTTTTGTTGAAGGATCTAATTAACCCGAAAATACAACTCATGAGGACCCTTCAAAGACAAGGTTTGATAGGTTAGAGTATGACGCTTGTGAGTGCATGTAGGTTTCTTAAATGCACAGTGACCTTGTCTTCACATGTCCTAAGTTTTTAGAGTTTTTGGTTTGGGATAATGCAGATCCCAAATTCGTCTCCCTGAGTTTTGAAGGCGTTATAAGAAGGGTCCCGATTGAAGTCCCATATACACTAGAGGCCTTCTATTAGTTAGCGATTTACATCATGTATACGATATTAAGCTTCCTGGGCTTCCAGTTTCCACCCACCCTGCCGGCAATCCCACATCATCCCTGCCATACAAGGAAGTTCCAAACTAGAAGCAATTATAGGGCTGGGGGGTAGATTGAACTGCCGTATAGCGACTGTAAGGGGATGTTGCAACACATTTCAATCTAACTACTTGTACCATAATTATGTAGAACCCTGATCTTAACCCTAAGCCCCCAGACCTTGCAATTACTAAGCCCCTGAGCTTAAACCCAAACGCACGACAAGCCTGCCAAGTTGAGTTGGAGAGCCGCTTCTCAACACTGAAAGCTCGCATGGCTGCTGGCTTCTTTGGTTGAGGGCTCCGGATTCGGCTTTGGGCTGCTTTGGGTTTAGGGTCTAGGGGTATGAGGGGGCTTAGGTTTAGGGCTTTCGGAGCGCAGGGCTTAAGGTGTTTGGGTTCCGCACTTCAATTGTGCAGTCTTTCAGGGTCTAGGGGTTGGGTTTCGCGATTTGAGCTACTGCCCATACGCCCTCAAGGGCATGTTTCTTTGATCAGGAAACTGACAGCGGCACAAAGGAAAACAACCTCTGCTCGCAATTCATATTCCCTGTTATATACCCCTAAGGATGACTGTGCTCACGTAGGGCTTGCTGTTTTCGAGGCAGGTCGGTGGGTTTGGCCTCTGCAGCTCCTGGGCGCCGATCCAACATTGAAATCTTGCACCTAATACCAAATATCTGCAGAGCACACCCCTAAACCCTAAACCGAACCCTAAACCCACACCAGCATGTGGTTTGGACGTGTTTGAGCCGTGCCACTGAGCTGTGTATGATAGGTTTCACGGACAGCATCCCTAGATACTTAGAGGGGTAGGGTTGATGCGGCACGGCCTAATGGGACATGTCGGGTTTGAGGGGTCTGTAAGTCCAAACAGCCAACGTAGAAACGAATTATGCGCTCTAAATGTACTCTCCATTGTGGCTGCCTTCTTTGCATACCATATGTTGGTCGCGACCAGAACATGTATCGTAGAAACTGGTAACTAACCAAATGGAACTGCAATAGAAAGTACTGGTCGACTCCAAAGCAAGTACGACTGGTGTACTTGGAGCCTAAGGGAGGCCAAGCATGAATCTCCAAACACTCAAACCAAAGACCATCAACCCCAAACCCTCAATTCGCAAATGCCAAAGCCTCAGCGTCCACCCTGGACCCCAACACCCAAGTCTCTAAACCCCTACTTGGAGGGTCGGGGGACTTAGTAAGTAGGTAGTAAGTAGGCTTATAAGTACCCTAAGAGGGATCCTAATTGGGGTCATGGTACTTATAAGTCTCCAAAATAACTACTTACTAAGTCCCCCGACCCTCCAAGTACTCCCATAATCCCTAGACCCGCACCTCGCCAGGGACCAGCTGCCGAGCAAGAACGTCATTCAAAGACGTACCGCTGGGCACCTCCGGTTGATGATATAAATCCTGCATGACCCATAATAAGGAATATACCATAATTCCCATAGTTTAGGCACCTTAAGGTAATGCAGGATTTGTATCATCAACCGTCCGACTCAGGGAGCAGAATAGCCCGCCCAAAGCATAATTATCTACACATATAACTACATAAATAAAGAATCAAATAAATATATACATATACATATGTCTGTGTACACACATACATACATACATACATGCATACATATACGTACATATACAAACCAACACACAAACAGACGCTGATAACATGTGCTGCAATATGATATGTGAATCTGAAGTTTCGTGGACCTCTTATTCATGAAGGTAAAGCACGTTCTAGTGACTAGCAGACCATAGGCGCGGATGGCCTTCCCAGGCTTGGAACGGATACTTAACGAAACTCTGTTACCGGAGATTGGCATAAGGAGTTGAAATGATGGTGAGAGGGACTTCATCGCCCACGGGATTGGAACCAAGGGCACTTTAGAATAAGTTCGCGGGTCTTAGAGTAGTGACCCTGCAAGTAACTCTGTCAGGGGCCGATGCACGAGAACCACCCATGAAACATCACTTGAAGGAACGCTTTTAAGGAACCCTGTAGAGTAAGCCTTTAAGGAATCCCTTAAAGGTCGTCCTTACATAAGCCCTCATAAACCCTTGTAGGAAGCCCTTGTAGGATTCGCAAGGAACCCCTCAATTGGTTCTCCAAATCTAGGTTTCTGTGTATATAGCCCAATTATAATAAGGGTGCCCGTTTTCCTACTATTCGGTTTTAATCAGGGGACCCTTTTTCCTACGATCCAGTCTTAATAAGGGGACCCTGAAAGGGTAAAAGGGTACTACTCAGCAACCTACCCTAAGGCTCCATGTATCTTTATAGTATATACATAGGCCTTAGAGTACCTGAATAGGGACCCCTAACGGTTGATGATATAAATCTGCATTACCTTATGGACCCTAAACTATGGGAATTATGGTATATTCCTTATCATGGGTCATGCAGGATTTATATCATCAACCGAAGTATATACCATAAAGGTACATGGAGCCTTTGGGCTAGCGATTGCCTCCGGCAACTTCCAGGTGTGGGTCGCGAAAAATCGGACTCTCCTTGGCGCATGCAGTTCGGGGTTTAGGGTTTAGGGGTTTAGGGGTTTTGGGGTTTACGGTTTACGGTTTAGAGGTTTAGGGTTTAGGGTTTACCTATATACCCTAAAGGTCGAAGTACTCCCTTAAAAATGACTGTGGGTCTGGGTCCATTTTGGGTACCAAAAACCATAAATAGGGACTACTTGGACCCGTAGGGATAGGCTCGATTGTAGTTGCTTTTGGTGGTTCATATTTAGGTCCTAGAAGGTTAATCCCAAAATGGAACGACCATGGAGCCATGGGTAACGGTTTGGGGAATCGGGCACAGGGTTGAAGACTCAGAGTGCTTGTGCTTCAGGGTATGGTGCAGAGTGTCAGGTCTAGGGGTTCGGGTAAGGTTTAGGGCAGGGTTTATTTAGGATATACATTTAAGGCTCAATTCTCTTTCTCGGGCAACAAGCCTCTTTCAAATTCCCAAGCCACCACTCCTCTTCTCCATGCCACAAAGACTCTACCCCCTGTACCTTCACTGAAATGCAATGTTCCCTAGCAAAAATATTTCCATTTCTTGCGACACAGTGTCGGGACGATGTTGAGGACACGGGACACCATGGCAGCCATCGCAAAGCTCTGCCCCTGGCTACCCTCCTTGGCATGGACCCTTACGGGCAATGATGCTCCTTACTGCTCTGATGACACCACATGCGCTGCAAGGCTGGTGGCTATGAAGGTTTAGAACAACAACTCGCAGCAATTCTAACAGGTATTCTGAATTAAGGTTTGGGGTCTGTGTCTCGGGCTCAGGATTATCCTACGTAGATACACACGAGATATTAGGAGCACGACTACGACGCTTGAACGGCGTGGCGATAATTGCAAAAGCATGCGGTGGTGACAACAAACCAGGGCGGATGCCTTCATGCCGTGAGGTCTTGCGGATGAGCGACCACAGGCAAAGATCCAACACGCCAAGCACGGGGGGGTACTTAGCAACAATATATTTTTGCAAGGGTTGGGGGCCAAGTTGGGGGTTGAGGTCAAAGGGTGCAAAAGGATGGCCAAGTCAGGGGCATCTCTCAAGCTTCCGCGGCGAACTCCACAAGCTTTTGAACTCCCACAGATGCCCGGTCATGTTGTTGGTTCTGTTTCCCCTAAAGCGGCAATAATATAGATAAAATCTGCTTTCGGGTCTAACGTCTGGAGCCTTAGGGTTCGCCTGTGGCATATAGCCCATGGTGAAACGTTGCTCCGCAGGGCTGGCCCAGACAAACTGTTCAAGGTTTGCATGACGTTTAGGGTTGATTTTGGGGTTCAGGGTTTAGGATATTCCACCAGGAAAACTTACGTTATCTTGTCGCGTTAAACTCTTGGCACGACAGATTCACATCCACAGACCCGGAGCACAAGAAAAGTTTGATTGAAAGCTGTCTTCAAAAGAGCCACGGGTGAACAGGTGCACGATAACCCAATAACTTTTACACCTGCACGTTGCTCGACATGGTCGGCCTTCGAATGTCAAACGATGCCGGTATGTACAATCTTTGTGCCGCTTTCGTCTTGGTCGTGGCCTTGGGCTTGGCACTGATCTCGGGACACTCCTCGGCCTTCTTCCTGGCCTTCTTGTTCGCAGACTTTGCACTGGTGTCCGGGGAATCCGCGGCCTTCTTCTTGGCATGGGCATGCACAGCCTTCTTGGAAATCTCGCTGATCTCCGCCTGGGCATGCTTGGCTTTCTTTTTCGGCTCACTGTAGGCTGGAGCTTCCTTCTTCGGACTCTCCCCATGCGAACTCTGGACTTGCTGGCACAGAGGCTGGCTCCGCTGACACACAACATCAAACAAGGTGCCCCTCCGAAGATGCATTTGCACGTTCAGGGCTGAAAGCTTTGGGATCCGCATTCCTTGGACACCTGAGGTTCTTTCACATGTGTAGGAGCTGCCGAAATACAGTGGTACCCTATTATTTTGGGTCCTTATGATACGGATCATACTATTTAGGGTACTATCCTTGTTCGGAAACCCCCATGTGCTTCCGATCGGGAATCAGGCCGAAGTCTGTGCTTCAATCGTGCACGACCTGGGCAAGGGCTCGATGGTTTTGGGTTTAGGGTTTAGGGTTTAGGGATGCAGGAAAGCGGGCTACCCAGCATGCAGTTGCGGAGTTTTGAATGGATTTTGTGCTCGACATGAGGTTAAAGATTAAAAGAGTGCAGGCCGTGGTGCAAGTCTTGTACCGCCTGATTGCGAGGTCTTTACAGCAGAACTTGGATGACACTTCCGGGCTTGTAGAGATTGCGGAAGTGCTGAGCTTGTTCATTAGCCGAAAATTTGTCCTGTAAAAATTGACTGCCAGCCTGCATCGCAGCTGCAACCCCACATAAGCCGTAAAATCTAAGTTAAGGTAGAAGTACTATAGCTCGCAACACGTGCAGCTCGTCTGGCGCAACGAATGAAACAAAAATCATGACCGGCATCACGACAAAACAGCAGCAGCCTGGTGCAATGCCACAGAGATGCCCGCGCTCTATCTTCGATCACGGTCTGCGGGTTTAGGGTTTAGGATGGCTTAGGGTTTAGGGTTTGGGGCTTAGGATGGTTTAGGGTTTAGGGTCCGGCCGATGTCCTCGGAGCCATACGAAAAGTCGAAAAGTGCCCTTTCCACGCGCCCAGGACTATTTTCTTCCTGATCAAAGCCCTAGATGAAAATGCAGAACACCACAGCCCAAGAGCTCAAGGACCTGCAGTTGCTTCAACCGAAAACAAACGCCTTTTCAATAACAAATTCTGGGTCTCCCGGCGTGGCACATTCACGCCGCGGGGCCTCTCGAGATGTTCGAATCCAATCCCCGTGGGATGGGATTCAAAGATCTCGAGCGGCTCCATGGTGTGAACCGTGAACCATCAGAACATGGAATTCAAGCTGAGATCACGGCCTTGCCAAGCGCAACAAACCGCAGAGGGCACAATCCCACTCGGGGTGTGTAAAGGGCTTAATTATGCGCAGAGGTTGGGCAACTTGAGGCATCTAGGGGTGCTGACTTGCCTGGACATGTCAGGGCGAGCCACTCCAAAGCAAAGGGTTACGGGTAATGTCGCAGCATCTGCTTTTCATGCTGTGAGACTACGAGAAGCTCTATGACTCTGTGCCGTATGTACGGTTCATCATCAAGAAAGATCGCTGAAGTCCGGATGCCTGAATGACATCGCTTTGGTTTCAGATGGATTCAGGGATTTCAAGCTGCACGGAACCCTGGCCTGAACAGATTTTGGTTTCTGACATGAAAGGGGTACTGAGGAAACTTTGGAAGAGGTGATTCCGTGGGCCTGAACATGGTGGTGGACTCCGGAACCCAGTAATCATGCAGCACAATCGCGACTGCGTCTGAAACCCTTCAGATACCTTGGAGAAAGGCCTAGGGATGCATCAAGAACTCATTGAAGCCAAGTGGTGCCCCGGCCTCAATGCCAGGAGCCTGGAACGTAGTTAGGTGTGTCGGTGTCCAGCGTTTCGGTTATTGGGTGGGTGGGCGTGTTGAGCCTATGCTTGGAGTTTGCAGGGTATACAGGAGTGTTAGTATCATTGGGGAGGTAGACTGATGTGAATAGGAAGGGCTTAGGTTCCAGCTCTTTCGGAGATTGGGGTTGGGGGGCTTTGTACTTGAGGATGCCCCAGGTTAGGACTGACTTTACGGAACAGAATGGCGAGCACTTTTTGTAAGCTAAAGCCCCCAACCTAAAGCCGTATAATTCTGCACTCGCTCAAGCGCACCGCCAGCTGCCAAGTGACCAATGGCAGGGGTGTTAAACAAAAGCAATAACCCAAACCCATGAATCCGATCCTTGGGGTGTACTTTCATGTAATCGCTGTCCAAACTTGTGGTTATAGGAAAGATCCCTGCGCGTAGTCAGAAAAAGTGCAACAGAAAATACGGAACTGTTATTGAGGGTCTGTCTACGGCAGGGACACCTTGAACTAAGAACATTTCCATGCATGAGCTCCCTAGCAACACTGAGCCAACCAGCAACATTTCTCAAAGCAGCCCGCACCGCAAACCAGGAATCTGCGAAATCAATGTCCTGATAAGCACAGAAATGCCACCCTGGCAACAGTCCGACAGTTGAGATTCAGGCCGCTGACGCTACCCTGTAAGTGTTTGAGATGCTGGTTTGAGTCTCGCGGAGCCCAAAGCCAAAGCCGCAAAAACCATGAACAGCATCTGGAGCTCTGAAGACCCGCACCTTCGCGAGGAGCAGCCGCCGAGCAAGAACGTCCTTCAGCGACATACCGCCGGGCACCTCTGATATTGAACACCGGTCCAGTACACATAGTGCCTTCGTTACCCTGTGCTCGTATCGTTTAGTCGTAGTGGTGCCTCGAGGCAGTCTTCCACAGCTGAACTCAGCGAGAATACTCAAACCCTCGGGCATGCAACTGCGGCCATCGCGTAAACCAGGACAGTTCTCAACCCTGAGGCTGAAGGCAAATCAAAACGGACTTGAGTAGGGTGTACGTTTCTTGGTTGGGTTGAGGATGTGAGCACGGAGGCTCACGGAGGTTGTCTGGTATATAGGGCTTCGGGTTTGAGGTGCCAAACTACATGCGAGTAGTTATAACTGCACTACATGTAGATATGCCGGAGCCTTTGAGTGGTGATTGACATCCTCTTGCGTGCTCGAGCCGCGTACGCTTTGCCCACAGCACGGTCTGTACATGTTCGTCCTCATGGACGGAGTTCCCTGCATGAAAGGCTCCGGTGAGGCATACGAGCGACAGGGCTTGCACGGCTGCTTCGCCTGCCGAGAGCATGCACTAACACCATGGTCCAAAAATTGAAAATGCACTGCCTCTTGAGGACTTGCACAACTGCTTCGTGTCCGAAGGCAACGAATTATTATGTTTATTGAACCAAAATAAAACAAGCGCTATTCTAATCTACTGCCATAATACGCCACAGTGAGATTGAGACTATAGCCGAACTTCAGTGATACTGTAGTATGTGTACCGTAGTATGTAGTAGTACACCATAGCCTCCACCATCATTTCAGCGACTGTACACAGCTACTGACCTGCGGAAGCACGATGAACTGCGCGGCGGGGGTTGGCCCCCAATCTGGAATCTGCATCCGTGGTCGAGGCCGTGATTGCAGGCCCCTCGTCAGGAAGAGGATTCCAAACAAGAAACGTGCGCATCACTTCTATCCGACCCTCAAGTTCAGAAGAAATAATGGTCCCAATTGACCCCGGCTCCGTGGAGGAGCTGCCGACTTCGCTTATGTGCAAGGGCCGCTGGCTTTTATTCCAGGCGCCCGCCCCCCTCACACGGTCAAAGCTCTCTGCAAGAAGGTACTCGAAGCTCTTGGAAAAGACTATGTGAGAGCGGGTCAGGTTCTCTGCCGCCACTGCCCGCATCACGTTCTCATACTGCCAGGGGTGAACCAACACCAAGGTGCCGCGAGGTGTCCGGATGTCATGGCCCGACTCAACCAGCGCATCAAGGCAGCGTCGTAGGGAGGGCCCCTGGAGAAGCTGATCCCAAAGCGCCGCTGAGTTTCGGTTCACCTCGGCCAACATGTGTGCACCAGCAAGACAATGACTTGGCTTCGTAGCACGTGCTGCGTAGGTATGATGACGATGGTAAACTTATAAGTTTTAAAATGTATTACCAGTCGATGTTGAGACAATGCGGACACCTTGTTACACATACCACAGGTTCAAAGTTTGGGTTGGATTCAAGAAGCTACATCACGGTATCCTGTTGGAGAATTGGATACAACTTGTTGGAGCCTGCAATTTCGAACAGTTCTGCAATGTGTTTACCGTGACCTAACAGACGATAGAGGCATTTGTTTACGCCCCGAGTCAGAAACTAGACCCGGGATCGTTAAGAACGACTCCGACGTCTTCACTGACATACGCAACACTCTGACACCGGACAGTTAGTCTACCGTCTACAGTATTGCTGGAGCAATACTGTGGTATACTGTCTCTTGCTAATCTTACTCTCAGACTATAGTACTCACCGGAAATGATCAAACACCAAAAGTTAGAAACCGGGTTAAGGACAATTCGGGGTGGTATCTCCTCCACATTACTCTAAAGCATTGAAGCTTTTCGGTTTCCAACTCTTGGGCTTCTACTGTCATCACGAGTAGTCAGTAGTCTACGATTACATAATGAAGAGACGTAGCCTGGGCACCGACGGTTTCTGCATTGGCGCGGGCGATGAACCGAGACACGAGCCTATGATAGTCATGAGTCGATGCCAAAAGCATACATACACGATGGTCTACCAGAACGTTTCAAGTTGCAACTAAGTGGTGCTAAAGTGCAGAAGCTCAAGCTTAGGGACGACCCAGACCTGACATGGTCTGTTGTTACAGGGAGGACGAGTAGGGCCGAACCACGCTCGATCCTTCTGCTTTCGTGTTTACCCTCAGGGTCCAAGTATCACTGTGGTATATACTTCCACCTCAAAATACCCTGTAAGTATATACCATAATGATGCTTGGACCCTTTGGGTTAGTGTTTGGCCGGTTCTTGGGTGCTGGCGTAAGGATCCCGCTACCGTTCTGCAGACAGCAGGCTTGGCCGACGATGATCTGGTCATGATGGTCCGGCGCCTGCTCCCTTGCAACCAAGCGCTCGATGAGGCCGGCCTGGTTCAAGTTTGGCCAAGTGTCGCCATGAACATGTGAGTAAGGGTATCGTGTACGAATGACAATGACGAACTATGTTTAGACAGGGAGCTGGCTTTGTTTAATAGCTTTGCTGTACAGGCTATGGGTTTTCGTTTGATGTGTTATTTGGACCCTCTGCCTGCATCTCACTGGCAAGCTGGGAGGCCTCAATCGGATGAATAATCGCTGGTGGCTCTGCATGATCACAATCCCTGCAGGATGACTGGAACAAAGGAATGTAGGGTTCAGGGTAACCATGCCATACAAAGAATATTCAATATCTTGAGGCCCGTAGATACTATATAGGACCACAAATACAAAACTCCAGAACAAAAACCAAAGCTGTGCTGATCAGGTCCAGCCAGAGCTCTGAATTACCATAGGCTGAGCGTCATGCTCCCCGTGTTCTGCGGCTACTGGAGGATCTACTGGTGGATGTGGTATCAACACCCACCCCTCATTCAGTGTGCGAGAGGAGCCTGCCTGGCGAAAAGACTTGTTGGCGAACAGGCTTCCAAGCACATGTGCCGCGGAAAGCAGCTGGAAGGCGTCCTGGAGATCTGCACATGCGCTGTGCAACTCCTCAGCAACCTGCCGGACTGCATGTTTCCTGTGGCACCCATATGACCGTGGGGATATCCCCCACGGGTTCACATGGTGAAAGCCCTGGCAAACGACACCCAACTCGTCACATGTGAGTACATTGACCATGCTCTCGATTCGAAGGCTCATCCGCAATAGTTCGCTTGGGGTGGGCGGTGAGCTTGACAACGCATCCAGGATTTTGGAAAGGGACTCCTGTAAGCTGGCTAGCCTCTCATGTCCGCGCGTAAACACCGGAGTATTGCAGGTGAATCTCGTTGAGGGTTCGTTTATATTCCGGCTGGCACGAAGAGGGCAGTGCGCAGCATGGTACCCCAACCGGCGTTTATCGACGTCCGGCGAACTCGTAAACCAGTGCCCGTGCCACTGCTCGACATCAGCATCAGCCCCTGGCCAGCCCACGACGCGGTCCCAGGCCACACATCTGCCTGCACAGCACTCCGCCTTCACGGCGAACATCGAGTCCCCTGTTTCACGGTGCCATTGTCGTAACATGCACCTTGCATGGCAGGCGCGTGCACCCACACACCAGTCTCGCTGATGCACAAGGATTGTTTGCGGACACTTCTGCGCAGCGGCTTGTGCCAGAGCCTCGCGCGCCCTGCGCACGAACGTCGGCACCTCCGCTAGATATTCCCCTGCCGCTCCTGCCATGGCTTGATCTGCCAAATGCAGCGGCACAAACATTTCTTCGCATCCCTCACTGGGCAGGTGCAGGACAAATTACGCACACACAAACCCACCAATCAAGCCAACAAACCTGCTGGCATCAGCAGAGCAAATCAACCAGTCTTCGACAGCTCGGAGTATAGGCCTTGTCAACGTATGCATAGAGCGGGGAAGAACGTCAAGAATGTGGTTGCCTGCGGCAAGGTGCGCTAAATCAGGGCATGAATGCCAATCTCACTGCCTACCCGAAGCACCATGCACTGAACGCACGCCCACAATCAGCCTGACTTTGCCTTGCATCGCCCAGGAGACTGCCTAGAATCGATACCACTACCTCCTGTTCTTTTGTTGCAGTTGTATTACACAGTATATGCGTTCTTGCCGGCGTATAGTCCTGCTGCGCTGCGGCGGTTGCAAAGCCACTACTCTAGACCACTGCCGTGGAGCAGGCGAGGTTTTGGGCATTTTAGGGCTTAGGGATTTCGCGTAAGAAGGCTTCCGGTTAATGGAATACCTTATTCTTTGTCTTAGAGCACTGTGCTGTAGGGCGGAGTAGTCCTGTAGAAATGTCGGAGCTTGAATACATGCTGCTATCAGTATAGAATAGGCCTGCCCACAACATCACAAATCTCTATACTCAATCCTCAAGTATTATTCAGACCCCTATATATTCATACTTTCAACACCCCCAATCCTGAGTCGAGGCTTTGACCTCCCAACACCCTGCACAGTTTGGGGTTTACGGGCTTTTGCTAGGGTTGAGCTTAAGAAGTGTGACCGGATTCCTCCATTGCAAGGTTTTTTTGGGTTTAAGTGATGGAAGGCGGCAGATACGAGACATGCATCCAACTGGGCCACTGGAGACAGCAGATTCCAAAAGATTAAGGTGTTCAAGGTGTTGCAGGCCTTTCTGGGCTTCAGGGCCTCAACTTGCCTCAACACTAGACCCTACATCCCAAGACCCCGAACCTTACATGAAAGTGTCCTTGATCGTATCCAGGGATATAGTTTCAAGATGGTTGTCTTCTCTGGTATCTTGCAGCGCGTAGGCACTAAACAGCGGTTATCCGCCAATACTACGAGCAAAACAGACAGCAACTCCAATTCTACCACGAGAAAAACGAGTCAAACTTGGTGGTCCGGCTTCAAGTGCACAGAGTTTAGGAGCTTACGACTTCGAGACCAACAAGCACATCAAGGATGACTTGCATGCGTCGGCAGACTACCCACGGTTTTTTCCCACGGTTTAGTGTTTCGGGTTCAGGGATCACGAGAACTGGATCTGCATTTTTCGAACCAAAACAAAAAAGACTGCCGAATACACTACGAAAACATCAAACGAATCGGGATGGATGGCGGGCAACGCCCTGAGTGCAGTGCCTGAATTCTCGCAGTTCCCCAAGGGTACCGCTAACAAAACACCTGTGACCAGCCTGAGTGTCTCCGTCAGAAGGCTCCGTCTACATGCTTGCGAAACATACCAATGAACACACATCTATGGTTAAAGATTGCTTGCGTGTGAATGTGTGTATGTATGTATGCATGTATGCATGTATGCAAATATATGTATATACACATGCATACATGTATACACGCACGCATGCTCTGCCAGTTACGAGCCGTCAAGTTCCAACATAATGTTCAATTTCTGAAGAAAGCCCTATCTGTGGAGACATCGCCAGGGTTTAGGGTATGCCAACTTACAGAATCAACCGGCAGCCTGCAGAAGGAAACTGACGGCATCCATTGCTTCGCCCACATTCCCAAGGTCTTACGAACTGTCGATCTTTGTACCATCAACAATTGACAGAGTATGGAGGTTCATGAGGTTCGAGTTCTAGGGTGTAACACAGATGCCGCTACACGGCCTGAGAACCGACAGGATCAGACCCATGGCTCCGAAGTAAGGCGGAGACTGAGAGAGGACTGACAGCTTATAACCGCCTGCTCAGTTGTAGCTTGCATGCAAAGCACGCAGCCTCAAAACCCGAGAATGCCCTAAATGCAGCCTGAAAACCCCAAAATGCCCTAAACCCCGAACACAAAAATGCTCAAGGCTGCAAAAGAAGGGCGCGAGTGCTGAAGCCACCGAGCCGTCACAAACATCATGGGTGCATCTCGATTCATCGAGTGTCAGGTTGTGATGCCGTGATACTTAAACCATGAGAAACTTAAACACAAAGCAACAACAATCCACCAACCCTGAACCTATTACAACTTGATTGGCCAGAGCGTTCCTACGTAGAGAAGTGTAGCCTTAGTTTCACGAGCGTCGCAATAAGATCGATTTCATACACTGTACAATCCCGGATCGCTGCTCATCATTAAGTTGCGTCCACCTACAAACGCTCTGACTCCGGCATGGGTCATCTCAAGCTCACTAAACACGAAAACCCTAGTGACTAGTACCCTGACACTGCTGTTTCTGAAGTGCGTGATGAGGGCGCGTTGCGAAGGTTGGCTTTGCCCTCGCTGCATGTAAGCCTCTTGAGACAATCGCCGGTTGGCTTTGCCCTCGCTGCATGTAAGCCTCTTGAGACAATCGCCTCAAATGATGGTGGAGACATAGAGCTGTCTGCCTCCTGAACTTCGCACAGGATGCAATGCAGACTCAACAACAGCTGCCTGCAATCTAGGCGTGTGCACAAGTGCAAGTCTACATGTATGTGTCTATTATGTACGCATGCAGGCATGCATGCCTGCTTGTAAGCAAGTAAGTGAGCAGTATGAGATACCATGACTTATTAAGTATGTGCCATGTAGGTAAGTAGGTATGTAGGTATGCGCGTATATGGGCAGCCTTCATAAGACAAACCTTGCACCTGGCAGCTGCTGCACAGGAGGTTTGCGGACGTCGAAACACGTCCAGATCCGTACCCTAAGGGCCTGAATAATTAGAAGAGGGTTTCGGGGTACCTGGCACTGTAAAGACTGGGGGCCTAAGAGAGGATACTTTCCATTAGTCATCATTCTGACCCCTATAATAGCGTTGAGTGTAGGGCATGTTCTGCCACCTGGTTGGCTGCACCCACACCTCACAAACACTAACAACATGAAGGTGAACCTGCAAGGACAAACTTGCACAGAATAGTACTGAAAGGATTGAAAGCGTAGGGATGCACACTCTTTCTACCCCTGCAGGTACACCAACATTTCGACGATTGCAGGATACGTGCTTCACGCGCCAGATTCCCGTGCCATCCAAGGGCGAGGAGTCCAGCGCACGTGTGGCTCAGATCGGGCGTGAGCCTCGGATGCCTGAGCTTCTTTTGTGCAGGACCTGGGCAAGGGTTTAGAGTTTGAGGCATGGCTGAGGGCTATGCAAGTATACGGTTCGTTATGATGGTGAGGGACTTCTCTTCATGCTGTTGCGGAGTTTTGAATTTGAGTGGTTGGTGGCCATGCGCAGGATCTTACTTTACGGCTTGTGTAGAACTTGGCTTTGACTTCGGGGCTTGTGGAGAGTGCGGTCTCGATTGGGCTGGGCTCGATTCGTTCGTTGTCCTCTGCCTCTGCCTGCTTGTATTGTTGAGGCCATGGGAAGTACCAAACAAAAGAGCTACCGACACTCCCACCCTAAATCCCATATTAGAGCCTCCACCGGACAACCCAAAACAAAGCCGTAGAAAGCTACGTACACTTAAGTGCCCAAGCTCTGACAACTCCGGAGTTGAGTCCATGGAAGCTGCTACGACCTACAAAGCCCGAACGCTCGACTTAAGCCAAACAACCGTCGAACATCATGCCGAAAGCGACGGAAGGGAGGACGTGGGGCCGCATTTGTCAGGCACCATGTCATGGCACACAGGCGTGGCAAGCTGGTGCAATGTCAAAGGGAAGGTGCGGGACGCTTCATGCTCTGGGCCGCGCGCTCATCCGTGGCGGTCGGATAAGGAACTGCAGGTCGAATCCTCAGCAACCCATAGCATCCAGCCGCACAGCAATTGAAGCCCTAGTCCTTTATGAGGTTCCGATTCCCATTCGTCGGTTTGGGACTACACCCCCTTGCCCCCTCACTGTCCTGGAACAATTCTGCTGTTCTGAAGGCGTCCTTTCGTTGCGGGAGGTCCCCATAGCTTGCCAAGTAAGCGCAATCTGGAGGCTACTCGACGCCTGATTGGGGCTTGGAAGTTTTCTTGGAGGTTCATGGGCAGCTGTACGGCGGGGAAGGGGGGGTATCCTAGTTATAGCAGATGGGGCCTTGTAACCCTACATGTACATAAATAACTACCCGTGAGCCTCAAAGTAGGAGTCGTGAAGTCTACCCCAGAGCCATCCGAAAAAGCAAAAGACTGCCAGATCGAGGCACGGCGGTCGTTGCGACGGAACCCTTCGCCTCCGGCTACTTTAATGGTGGGTAACTTACCCTATAAGATTGTGAAGGGCTTTTTCTGGAAAATTCCATAAACACCTACATAACTACATGTTACAGTCGAGTATGGAACCCAGTAACCCATTAT